CTGCATCTTTAATATCATCTATTGTGATGTCTGATTGAAAGGGACCTTCTTCTTTATTGGAGGCTTGCAAGAAATTATCATGGAAGTTCTGCTGGAACCCAATTAACTTTGCTTTTGAATCTTTCAAGCAATCTATCCAGAAATCAATACGCGTAGATTTGTCACCAGAATTCTCTGATAAGGTCCGGATAAAGGTATCACTTATGGGAGAAAGGCATAAGGCATGACTAAGCCTTCTACATTCCCACAGCATTGCAAGGCAGACCTCCAATTTGACATTCTTCCACTTAAACACTCTGAAAATCAGCTGGTATATATGATGATGGAGCTCTGTACATCCCTGGACAAGGAAAAAAAAGTATCAAGGGCCAGATAGCTATGAAGCACGCACTATAAAGTATGCCACTCAAAAAAACATAGTGCAGCTAGATAACAGGAAATAAAAGTTACCTTGACTGACATCAAATCAATCATATTATACAGTAACGGAATTATGTTCTCTGTTGGTAGACTGTCGCCATTATCACCTAGGCTAAGATTCCTCAGCCAGAGATTTAACGACGTGCTAATATCTTGAAAGACTTTCTGCACAAAAGAGCCAAAGCAAAATGTTTCAAGAAAGATAAATTAAACAGTGAAACACAATTCACCTGCTGAAAGATAAAATGTAAATGATTAGAAGCATGCAATACACATTTGCACCTTCGAGCTTGGCTCAGCTTCCTGGGTACAAAAAGCTCTCAAGCAATACGCGATAGGTAACATGTGAGAAGATGGAGTACCCTCTTTACTTGGCCCATGATGTACCTCACCTTGCTTTCATTCATACGAAATTCGTCACAAAATATACAAGCAACTAATGAGATATTAATTCTGAAGTTCGTAAGACATATACCAATATAGAGATTGCTTCTGACAGAAAAGAAATGCACTCAGTCAGATGTTCAGTTCCAGATGTCCTCGTCATTCGTGCTTTCCATATTAAGATTCTTGCTCTCTCTGTATGCATATCCTCAGTGACATAAACATCGTTCAAAAGGATATCTGCTATATTTATTTGCATTTCTTGACCTAGATTTGACCTTACTGAAAACATTATTTCATAGGCAAGAAGCTCCTGCAAGTATTTACAGAAAAGTACATTCACCAATAAAAATCAAAGGGGGTCTGTAGTAGCATGCCTTTTCAAGTTAGAACCTGAGCAAACTTTTATTCAAACATTAACTGAAAGGTTGTTAGGATCCCAAACCTGCTCGAGGATTTTTCCGATACCACGTTTCGACTTTTTTGGAGAAGATAATAACAATGCGTACAAAGTTGTAAAAGAATCAGTTGCATCCAGATCCGAGTGACATTCCCGTTCTATCTGTTGGTAGCACAAACTCAGATACTTGTATTTCAAAAAAAAAAAAAGGCACTTCATCAAAAATTTACCTTAACCCACTGCTTCACAATTGCCGCAGGGCCTGGTAACCTTCTAATCAGATGTTCAGCTGACAACCAATTTTCTAGAACATGAACAATACTCTGTCTAATCTTACATCTGCTACATTGCTGAAGTATATCCAGGTAGAATGCACTTCTGCTACATGCTTCGCCCACAAAATCCAAAATGGCATCGTGTGACAAGTCATTATCAGATGAACTAGACTGATTTACAAACATCTGACAATGTAGTTCAACACATCTCCATGATGCCTTGGAACACAGCTTGAGCGCCTCACACGCCTGCAAAGTAGAAAACTTACTCTCTAAAATGTACTATGAGGAAAAGAAGACGAAGAAAATAGATGCATGGGTCTACACAAGTAAAGCAGAATCAGAATTTGTTTTTCTAGTCTTGTTTGCAAAGAAATTCTATAAGACGCCAAAATACATGTACTCCACCTTATTTAGCTCCTTATTTCGGTACAAAACGATACCAACATTGTAAAGCGCCGCAAATAGATACTTGAGTTCTTGAGATCGGATCCATGGACTAGCAATTACATCTTCAACTAGATGGGCACTGATCTGAAAAGGAAGATGTTCGGTTTACTATATTAGATTTATGAGCGATCGCGTGTTCAGGAAATTGAACAAAAAATTTCCATTGATTTGTATTCACTGCACATAAATACCAAACCTCCAATTTAAGCTGGGTTCTCAATGAGACAATGAAAGCACCCAAAGCCACGTTTAACAAAGCTTTGTTATTGTCAGGTTCTCTATTTCCCTTGTCAGACGTGCATCTAAGAAGTGGACACAAGAGATGTGAGAAAATGCATTCAACCCACAAAAGAATTGATATAGTTTCCACTTTCTAAGTGCACTGAATATTTAGACATCACATCATCTAACCTGCCAATGATTTGCATATTACTGTGATTAATAAGTAAATAAAGTTTATATTAAAAAACTGGTAGCAAATGATGCATTGAAAATTACATAAAACCTACAACTTAAGAATTATCTTCTGAAATCCTCCCAAATATATTTAGTTATGTTCACTATGTGATAAGCAAAAAAAATCTTCTGATGAAGAGCACAACTCTGACTCTACAGAATATAGCATAAGGGACAGATAATGAGCACCTTACCTTTGAAGGAAGAGACAGCCATCACAAAATTGGAGAAAGGCATCGTGAATAGTCGTTAGATGAGCAGAAGCATAGGGCATTTCTGTCTCCAACACAATTTTTCTTTTCAATGAATATATCAAATCTGCAAGCGGTTGGCACAAGAATCTCAAGGCATCTAAGTATTGTGGCCAACAAGTCTTCTCGTTCCTTTCTATACAGCTATCATGTCTTTTATTGTTGTAGTTCTTATGCCCACCAATCAATGACAAACCAGTCTGATTGCCCACATCACCTGAGTAACTAGCAACCATGCCGAGTAAAGATACTAAGCTTTTCCATCTAGCATCATCATCAAACAAAGCTTGAATCTTCCAATCATCTGTTGCATCTTTAGCCTTACTTTCTTGGAGCTTGGAATTGCAAACAGTAATGGACAGCCCAGTCGAATACAGTCTAAGAACCAGATTAAGTTGGGGTACTGCCTGCCAAGCAGTCAATCTATTATTTAACTCAAACACCAAGATACTTCATGAAAAAGTTAAGGCAAGTTTACATGCCAAGGAGAGTAAAAATACCTCTAAGAAAATAGCTGCCATCTCATTTAGGTTCTTTGAAACTTTTGCACAGTACATGTCTCCTGCTGCTCGAAACTTGTGAGCGCAATAAGCGACTAGGTCAAAAAAGTCCATCAAATTCTCATTACTTTCATCCTGAAAGAGGAGCAGTGTTATAAGGCATTGCAAGTTTGCGGTTGAACATCAATTGAGAAACCAGCAGAAACCTAAAGTCAACCAATCTAGCAACAGATAAAGGAGCAGAACAGGTGACACCAGAATATATGGCAAATTTTGTGGTGGAAATAGTTGCTCATGTAAACAAGACAATAGATAATTAAGATGCAAGGAATTTGTGCAAACCTCAAATTGGCAAGTTAAGCTGTGCAACACAGCCATTGATATGTCAATGGTCACTGACATTTTTCTATCCTTAAATCCGAAAAGAACAGAAAGCACCTCGCGAGCAAACTGGACACGGCGTATGGATTCAATTATATATTAGATGACAGCATGTAAAAGAAATGCATCAGCAAGAAGGAAAGACATCAAAGAACAAAAGTGACCTTATAAATCCAATCTTTTGACAATGCAGATTTATTGTGTTCTTTCACAGTCAATTCGCAGAAAGACAGCACCAAGTCCTCATTGAAACGCTCAGCTTCTTTAACCAAGGAAATAGCACATTTACCCATATTCGCCACGATCCCTCTGTGCAACTTTTCACACGCCTTAGCATCTAAGACCCTACAGAGTACCAAAATTTCAGGCTGTGATATCTCTTGAAAGAAAAATTGAATTTTTCACTTCAAAATGGAAGCAGCATTGATCTAATAATCAAAAAATGAAAAAGTTTAATAAACCCACACTGACCTAAACCAGGCTCTAACCTCCTCAAGCAAAAGAAGGACTTTTCTATACCGCTTATCATCGAATTGCTGACCCATTGCCACAGCCCTAATGATGGTTGCCACCGCATCTACGACAACCAAAGCCAGCTCCGCCTCACCATCCTGAACCTCCGGCAACAGCCGGCACTTCCGGGATTTGCTCTCAGAGCCTCTTAGCTTCTCCAGAACCTTAAACGCTTCGGTATATACATTCTCATACAAACCCCAAGCATCGAGACAGTAAACCATCCGCAGCCACTGAGATTGAACGGTATGAGGCTTACAATCTAACTGCGCGGAGACCAATTCTAAGCAATCCAAGCAAAGCTCATAAACACGGAACAAACCCAAGGCAGATTCACGAGCTCCCTTGTCAGATTTCGCGACGGAGAGGCGCTTCGGCAACAGCGAAATCGATTTGTTGAGGAAAGGAAGGAATTGCTTAGCTAGGGCTCGAACGGCGGTTGCTCGGTCTTGTTTTCTCCGGGAAGTTGATAGAGTAGAGAAAGGTTTAAGGTAATCGGAGAAAGAGGAGAAGACGTCGGCGCCGGCGTCGGAGGAGTCGATGAGAGAGAGAAGACGGAGGTCTTCAGCGGACGCCATTGATTTCGAATGTTGTGAAATTTTTAGAATTCCCGCTAATTGAAGATGCTCATTCTCTAGGTCTTACTACGGGAAACTACTACACTATAGTCTCTCACTCTCTGTCTTTATAATTTCAAAAATCTCATTCGTCGTCGATTCACACTTGAGCTTACCATTAGCAGAATCGTATTGAAGAAGAATTCAGTTGATTCATCTGAAATTGAAAATTATCAGAATTTTAAACCGTTTTGTGTAATTTAAAAAAAAAAATGTTTTCATAGTTCAAGTTTATAAATTAGAACCCTAAACGCTTTTAAACCCTCGTGGTTTCCAATGGGCTTTAAAGCCCACTCTTCACTAGGCCTTTTTGTTTCAGGAGGTTTTTTGGGGGCAATCTTCATGAAAAATAAAAAAATATACAGTATATGTGCGTTTGATTTTGGTTTTTGTTAAACCAAACCGAAACCAAGTTGAATAACCCACCAAAACGAAACAAACTAAACCAACCCAAAGAAAAAATCTAGCTACTGCCTAAAATCGAACCACACAACGTAAAACTAAACCGAATCCAAATCCGAGAATGTTCAACCATAATTGTAAAATTGAACCATGCGGATTAAGATTATGCCCCCAGATTAACGCAAATCATTTGTGTTTGTCAAGAGCTTTCTTTCTCCACTTCTCTTTCTCAACAAAATCAGCATCTAGGAACCTCGACACAAACTCCCAAACCTTAAAAACATCCTCAAAGTTCGTCATAAACCCTAAACTAACACTCACCACCGACAATCTCAAACTCATTGCTTCTTCGCTTCTCCTCTTGTTACCAATCCTAATCTTGTGCAAATACGCACATCGCAAACCGATCTTTTCCCTCTCAGCGAGCCTCTCCACCATCAAAGGATCGACCTTTTCGCCTTGCCAGTCGAAAATGTTGAACGAAATGGACGGTCCTCGGCTCAGTTTCGTCTTTGGTCCGTAGATTTTGACCAAGGGCATCTCTTTTTGATGAGTGCCTGGATGTTGCAGTGTCATCAAGGCTCGTATAAGCCATAAAGTCAACGACTTTGACCTTCTACTGATTAGTATCAGTCCCAAAGAATCTGCGTCATCTAATCCACGAAACTCAATCATTGCTTTATCCTCCTCTATTTCAACTGATGATGATTCGATTTCAACTATCGCAGAGCCAGAAGTAGAAGCCGCCTTGTGGTCCTCGTGGTCCACAGGGGTGATTTCGTCATTATCTTCTGGATACTCTGTTTTCCATTTCCAGGCTGGTTCTGCCTTTACTGCCGTGACATTCGCCGGGTTCGTCGGTTCTTCCGACAAAGCTGGAGAGCTAGATTTCTTTACGAACAAGCAACTGAAACCAGACGGATTGTCTTGACCTAAAACCTCTGTAAAAGAACAGATGAGGAAATCTGGTTGGAACAGAGAAAGCCCTAAAGTCTCCATGTCTTTAGAACTTAAAGCAGAGGTGTCTAGCAACACATGCCATTCGTTTTCGTGAGCTAAACTCAACCATGAGTACGAATACGAAGCTCCTGTGACTAGAGATTGAAGTGGAAACACAAACAGCCCTGTTTTTTTCCCTCTTCTCTTACTTCTCGTGATTCTCCTCTTCAGTTTCTCCGAGTGAATCTCAGTGCTAGGCCACAAAAACTCTGCCGATTCAGGCTTGACACCCTTTTTCTCTGAGATTCTTATCATTTCTTCAACTGCTTCGTCTTCGTAGTTGTATACTGTGAGAAGATTCGGGTTTGTTTTGAAAGAGTAGAGTTCTGCTACAATCTTGAAAGCAGAGGAGCGGTCTTGAGTTAGAATCATGTGATATTCGGATTCGTCAAGATTCATAAAACCAGTGATTCTTCTCCTCATCCTAGACTGAAACTGAGTTTCTTCTTCGCTCGAGAACGATATCAGTTCTTTACCGGAGCTCACTTGCTTGCAATACAAGGTAAGGAAAGGGGGATTCAAATTGGATTCTAATTCCGAGATTTGTCGAAACTGGGAGTAAGAGAACAAAGGTTGTTGTTGACCAAACACGTGAGGAGAGGACGAGAGGTTTTGGTAATCTGTAGATCGGAGATGATCTGCTTGATTCGTCTGCAAGTAATCTGGAAAAGCTGTGACGAGATCGTAGAAAGATGCACGGAGACGAGGAAGAGATTCTTGGCTCGTGAATTTCTTGTCTCGAGTTAGAAACGAAGCTCCTGTTGTGATAACTGAGAACTCTAGCTCTTCTGGTTTCTCAGATACTGAATGAGATGAGAATGGTGATGCACAGCAGCCATTGAAGCAAGCTTCTGAAGCTTCTTGTATGAAGTGTGAATTCATCTTTCTTTTCTCTCTCTCTCTCTCTCTCTCTCTCTCTCTCTCTCTCTCTCTCTCTCTCTCTCTCTCTCTCCCTCCCTGTTCCTCTGTTTTTTTGTCTGGAGAAAAGAGGGAGTGACTTGAGAGAACGTTGAAGTCAATGAGATTACAAAACCAAAAAAAAAAAGTGACAATTTGGGTCTTTAGAAAATTAATCTTCTGTCGTAGTCTAACCAAAAAAAATATGTGTTTGTCTTCAATAGCTTAACCAATTTCAACACTTCCAAGTTCGTTGATGAATAGTATAGTCAATTATTAAAATAAATGACAATAATGTATAGAAAGAATATTATAAGCTGTTAGGTAAGTATATGCTCACGTTGAAGGTTGAACAGAGTTGACTTCTCTATAGCGTTATTGACTTATTGGCTTATATATTAGTATTTCGATTTGATTAGTCCAAGTAATGACAATTGTAACGTATGTTGGTAAAGAAAAAACGAATAAGCAATCAAGAACTTTTATAAGTTTATGAATTTAAAATGTTGGCCAGATGTTTATTGACCAATGACCACTAAAATCATATCCATGAAATGGGGTCCAAGGACTATAGTATATTCTTTTCTTCGTCTTTTTTTGTTAAGGATTCTAAATTTCTAATAACTCACTTGTGCAATAAGAGATTTCTTAATTGAAAATAAGATTTTATAATGTGTTTTCTTCCTCATTGCTAAATATTAGGTTTAAAATTGTATTGTAGAAATCTTTTATAATGCAAAACAAGAAAGTGGATGGCATTTTCATCATTTCATGCACGTAGGTAGAAGTAGAACCTCGAGGGCGACGCGGTTGGACTTGGTCAATATAGTATAGTATCTTCTTTGCGTCTACTTTGTTCATCATCTCGTGTGTTTACATTACAACACTTTACACTCATCACAGTCAAACATAGATTTGTATGTGTGTGCGTTTTATGCATAATATACGTGTCCATACATATATCATCCACTCCTGACTCCACTACATGGGAGTGTCAATGTCAAATTGCCTTTTTTATATAGTGTTTGATTAGTTGTAGAAAAGATAACTAAACACTTGTAAACTAGCTAGTGTGGTTTGTGGTATAGTGTTTATTTAGTTAAGAAAAGATAATAACAAACTTGTAAACTAGGTGTGGTTGTGTTTGGTGTGTGTTTGTATCTCCATTTGGACCTTAATTAATATAATTTTTCATAATGCATTGCATTATATCAAAGAAATATGGCACATCTATTAAAAGAAAACAAAACATGTCACATCATGTATTAAGATGTATGGTCGCATAATAATAAGGTAAGTTCGTGAAATTCTCAATCTACTGTCAGATTCTACCACTGAAGTATATATTGAACGTTGCTTAACTAAAAAAAAAAAAAAAAACAACTTGTTGATTCGGATAAGAAAATATTGGAAATTTTAAAGACATATATGCATTTTTTTTCTTTGGTCAGCCATGTGTATGCATGCATATTGTGTATATGTATGGAGACTTTGCAACTAAGAATCACGAGACAAAATTATGTGGAGAGATTAAAAAGTACTACTCTATATCTTTTAAGAAAATATATATGTTAAAAATAACAAAAAGTGAAAAAGGAAACCGAGGAACAATTGCTAGTGGAAACTTTCATTTTCAACGAACCAAATCACAAGTTTATAGTTTTCTTGGCGTTATTACAATCCGTGTGTCATCCACTATATGATCACAACAAAATAAACAGAAAAAACCAAGAAAACAAAAAAAGTAGAAAACGATGAAATTTTCTGAAAAAACCAAATTTTGTTTCATTTCGAAATTGAAATTTCACAGAAATAAATCGTCAAAAGATATATAAGATAGCTGCTGATGTGATTAGAAAATAAAATCAAATATCATAGACTTTGCAGTAAGCTGATGACCCAAAGTGACAAGTAGTAGTAATACGTAGTAGCTGATGAGGTCCTTACCGCAATAATTGTCCAATCACGTGACCGATTTTGTTTTAATATTTGCCTTAAAGCGCAGGCAAATGATCTTTTTCTTTGGTATGTCATTAATGTTTTAGTCAACGTAACCCTATTGCATGAATAAGATAACATAATGTACAACAACGTAGATGAACGGTCTTATTAGTAATGATTTAGTTATTGAAGGGGTAAAATTTGTGAAGAGAGTACTAATACATGGAGTTATAAGTAAAACAAGTAGCTACAATAGACAAAATACAAATGACTAGAGACGGAAGCAGAGTGACATTCAAAAGCCTGTTCCGTCCAAAGTATCCGGCGACTGTAATCGTAACGTCAGCAATCACACGTGCGATCGTGCCTGCCTCCGTCGAAAGCAAACCTCCGTTATATGTCCCTCTTGATAGCCTTGAAGACATTACCCTTGAGAGTAACGACAAATTAACACCTTCAAAACAAGAAAATGTTTGGATTAGATTCGATTTGATCTACATAGAAGTTTTTGGGTAGTATATATCAATCTTTTTTTACCTTCAAGAACTTCTGCAGAAACAAACATGATGAGTCCTGAGCAAACGTATTGTGGTACAGTGTAAGGAACAACGACATGGAAGCTGAGAAGTATTCCTAAGCAGACCATAATCTCCGAGACCAACAGGATTTGCCTGTCTTCGAACATGTTGCTTATGTAGCTCCCAACGACGAGGTTAACAGGAAGAACCGTGAGACCAAGACAAAACAAGAAGATCGCAACTGAGCTCGTGGACCAGCCGAAGTAGTAAGTGGTGATGACACTTGATTCAGAGAGAAGAATCTCCATTGCATACTTAAGCATGAAGTATATCAATAGTTGAACCTGAAAACCAATCAAGTCTCATCATCAGAATTGCACAATTACTTCTCAGAAGTAAATTTAGGTTTCACTTATCTACCTTTACTGAAGGTGTAAGTAACCTATAAGCAGCTACAATGGAGTTTGCAGGTGTACGGGAATCTTCAGCAGCTTCTTCGCTTCCATCACATTCATCTTCAGCTTGCTCTTCTATTTCTTCTGCTGTAATCAGCAATGGTTGTTTCATACCTTTCTCCAGATTCACATCTTGGACAGCTTCTATCACTCACACCAACCCAAAAAGGCTATAATCAGTTTTCAGTAACTCTTATCAATCTACCAAAGAGGCAATTAGGAACTAGACATACCAGAGTTATTAGTCTCTTCTGAAGTCTTAGGAATCTCCTCAGGTTGATGTGCAGGCTCCCGAAACGAAATAGCTAGCCAGACTAAGTATACAAGCCAAGCTATAGCCATAACCCAACCCGGCAATGTATCTTGATTAAATGTAAGTTTATAGATCTTGAATCTGATTTGCAATAGACCAGCAAGCGCAGGACCACACGCCATTCCTAGAGCACTTGCACTAACAAAACCTGCTGAAGCCTGCATTCTGATCTTTAATGGTACACAATCACTTATATATCTCCGGTTCACTGCTCTTGCCGATCCAAACCTGAAAAATACAATATGGTTAATTCCTCAAGAACTGATAATATGAGAAGTTGAAGTCTAAAGAGACTTACCCACAGAAAAGCCGGCCAATCAAGAGAACCGCTATTGAGTTGAGGTCAAAAGCTAATGCATACAACAAGTTCCCAATAAAGAGGACGATGCTACTGAATATGAGGGGTTTGAAGTAGGATCTATTGGACCAGGCACTGAAGTAAACTGAAGAAAAGAGCTGAGCCACAGCCATAGCACCAATTACAACACCGCACACTGTTGCTGCTGCACCGAGGCTCATGGAATAGTCATCTGCAGTAGGGACAATGATATATGTATTGACCATATAGAGAAATGTGTTGACCAAATTCAACAATAGAGACATGAAGTGATATCTCCCATCTTCTTCTTCCCCTTCCTCATCTTGTGGACTCGGTAACTCTTCTTGCATTATAAGCGCGTGCTGAGCCATGAAGTGTAGAAAGTTTGTTGACCGCGTTAGCCTATCCACTGCGGCTCTAATCGAATCCACTACAGGATCCTGAAGAGGAAGAACTGGCTGATCATAAATCGATAAGTAGCTTCCTTGATTGTTTTGAAGCTCATGAAGGTTCCGAGATACAGCTCCAACAACAGCTCCAAGGCCCTAATCAACATTATAATCAAAGTTAAGCTTACATAGAGAGAAACAATTACAATCAGGCTAGCATTTGTTTCATTTAAGACTTTACTTACCACATGTCTAAAGACTTGCTGAAGTTCAGAATAAGGATGGTTAGCACGAGTCTTGACATAGTAGTTTGTGAATCTATAACCAAACCGTTTATCGAACTTCTTGAGTATCTTACGGATACCAATAGCATTTATCTCAACAAAAAACAGAAGCTTGAGAAGATCTTGCCCAACAGCTCTATACTCCTCCTTTAGATTAGCAATATGAGAGATTTCCGGCTGCTCTTGGATAGCATCATGCGACTCCCTTAGTCTTTGTAGCCTACTTGAAAGCAATCCTTGTTGCTCCAACATGAAAAGAGCTATTTTCTCGATCTACACATTCGAATTAGCATTTAGAAAGCTCCACACTTTTGTCTTACAAACCTCTAAAACTTGTTGTTACCTGATTATCAAGCATCCTAGAGAAATCTTTAAGAACATGGCGGCGCTCAAGATTTCCTCCTTGTAACTGGCGACTGTACTGCTTCACTTTCTTCTTCATCAGTTTGTAATTGATGTAATATCTACAAGAGAGATCATCATGATTCACATTAATCAGGACAAACAGTTTTCGAATTTATCAAATAGTATATAGAGAACTTACTCTTGCCATTCTTGAATGCTCCGTTCCTTAAGCTTTTTCCCAAAGGCAACCATCTTCTACAATGAAAAGAAAGATGAATCCAGCTTGATTAAACCCACAAACCAGCTTAACAAGAATGATCACATACACACACAAAAACAGAAAAAAGAAACAACTTGCAATGTAAAAAATATGCCTAACTATACCGGTGACACTCAATTTATGACGGATACATGTTGGTACAGGAAAAAGATTGGAACTTGATTAATATAT